CAACACAAATTTCAGAAACCTACAAACTCATGGAAATTGAATAATGCTCAACTGCACCATCCCTGGGTCAACGAGGAAATAAAAAAGAAATTAAAGACTTCCTCGAATTCAATGAAAATGAAGACACAACATACCCAAACCTATGGGACACTTTGAAAGCAGTGCTACGGGGGAAGTTCATAGCACTAAGTGCTCACATGAAGAAACAGGAGAACAGTTATACCAGAGAATTAACATTACAGCTGAAAGCTCTAGAACACAAAGAAGCAAACTCCCCCAGGAGGAGTAGATGCCAGGAAATAATCAAATTGAGGGCTGAAATCAATAAAGTAGAAACTAGGAAAACAATACAAAGAATCAATGCAACGAAGAGTTGGTTCTTTGAGAAAATCAACAAGATAGACAAACCTTTGTCCAAACTTACCAAACAGCAGAGAGTGAACATGCAAATTAACAAAATCAGAAATGAAAAGGGAGACACAACTACAGACTCTGAAGAAATCCAGAGAATCATTAGTTCATACTTTGAAAACCTGTACTCCACAAAATTCGAAAATTTGAAGGAAATGGATGACTTCCTGGATATCTATCACTTGCCAAAACTAAATTAAGAACAGATAAGCAATTTAAGTAGACCTATAATCCCTATGGAAATAGAAGCAGTCATCAAAAGTCTCCCAACCAAAAAAAGTCCAGGTCCAGATGGCCTCAGTGCAGAATTCTACCAGAAATTCAAAGAACAGCTTATACCAATTCTTCTCAAAGTATTCCACACAATAGAAGCAGAAGGGTCTTTGCCAAACTCTTTCTATGAGGCTTCAATAACCTTGATCCCCAAGCCACACAAAGATATAACTAAGAAAGAGAACTTCAGACCAATATCCCTCATGAACTTTGGTGCAAAAATACTCAATAAAATAGTGGCAAATGGGATCCAAGAACACATCAAAACAATCATTCACCACGATCAAGTAGGTTTCATCCCAGGAATGCAGGGATGGTTCAACATAAGAAAATCCATCAATGTAATCCACCATATAAACAAGCTGAAAAACAAAAATCACATGATCATCTCACTAGATGCAGAAAAAGCGTTTGACAAAATCCAACACCCCTTCATGATAAAGGTCTTGGAGAGATCTGGGATAACAGAGACATACTTAATCATAATAAAAGCTATATACAGTAAACCAACAGCCATCATCAAACTAAATGGAAAGAAACTCAACGCAATTCCGCTAAAATCAGGAACAAAACAAGGCTGTCCACTCTCCCCACACCTTTTCAACATGGTACTTGAAGTTCTAGCTATTGCCATACGACAACAAAGGGGGATCAAGGGGATACAAATTGGGAAGGAAGAGGTCAATCTTTCACTGTTTGCAGACGATATGATAGTTTACTTCAATGACCCAAAGAACTCTACCAGGGAACTCTTACAGCTGATTAACACCTTCAGCAAAGTGGCAGGTTACAAGATCAACTCAAAAAAATCAGTAGCCATACCATATACAGATGATAAAAGGGCTGAAAGAGAAATCAGAGAAACATCACCCTTTACAATTGCCACAAACAACATAAAATACCTTGGGGTAATGCTAACCAAACAAGTGAAAGACCTGTATCATAAGAACTTTGAATCTTTAAAGAAAGAAATTAAAGAAGCCCTCAGAAAATGGAAAGATCTCCCATGCTCTTGGATAGGTAGGATCAATGTAGTAAAAATGGCAATCGTGCCAAAAGCAATCTACAGATTCAATGCAATCCCCATTAAAATCCCAGCACAATTCTTCACAGACCTTGAAAGAACAATAATCAATTTTGTATGGAAAAACAAAAGACCCAGGATAGCCAAAACAACCCTGTTCAACAAGGCAACGTCCGGAGGCATCACCATCCCTGACCTCAAGCTCTATTATAGTGCTATAATCCTGAAAACAGCTTGGTATTGGCACAAAAATAGACAGGTAGACCAATGGAATCGAATTGAAAACCCGGGTATTAACCCACACACGTACGAACATCTGATCTTTGACAAAGAAGCTAAAAATATACCATGGAATAAAGAAAGCATCTTCAACAAATGGTGCTGGCATAATTGGAGACTGGCATGTAGAAGAATGCGGATCGATCCATGTTTATCACCATGCACAAAACTTAAGTCCAAATGGATCAAAGACCTCAACATAAATCCAGCCACACTGAACCTCTTAGAAGGGAAAGTGGGTGGTACCCTTGAACGAATTGGTACAGGAGACAGCTTCCTGAACATAACAGCACTAGCACAGACTGTGAGATCAACAATTAATAAATGGGATCTCCTGAAACTGAGAAGCTTCTGTAAGGCAAAGGACACAATCAGCAAGACAAAAAGGCAGCCCACAGAATGGGAAAAGATATTCACTAATCCCACATCTGACAGAGGGTTGATCACCAAAATTTACAAAGAATTGAAGAAGCAAGTCTCCAAAACATCAAAGGACCCAATTAAAAAGTGGGCTGCAGAACTAAATAGAGAGTTTTCAATAGAGGAGTCTAAAATGGCTGAGAGGCACTTGAGAAAGTGCTCAACATCCTTAGCCATCCGGGAAATGCAAATCAAAACAACTCTGAGATACCATCTCACTCCTATCAGAATGGCTAAAATCAAAAACACCAATGACAATTTATGCTGGAGAGGATGTGGTAAAAGGGGGACACTCCTCAATTGCTGGTGGGAGTGCCAACTGGTTCAGCCACTTTGGAAGTCAGTGTGGAGATTCCTCAGAAAAATGGGAATAAACCTACCATAAGACCCAGCAACTTCACTCTTAGGCATATATCCAAAAGATGCCCATTCATACAACAAAGATGTCTGTTCCACTATGTTCATAGCAGCATTATTTGTAATAGCCAGAACTTGGAAGGAACCTAGATGTCCCTCAACTGAAGAGTGGATAGAGAAAATGTGGTACACTTACACAATGGGATACTATTCAGCAGAAAAAAAAACCAATGGAACCCTGAGATTGGCAGGCAAATGGATGACACTAGAAGAAACCATCCTGAGTGAGGTAACCCAGTCACAAAAAGAGAAACATGGCATGTACTCTCTCATATATGGATTTTAGACATAGATCTGGGGAGGGCCAGCCTACAATCCCATGGCCACAGAGTCTGGGAAACAGAAACTTCATTTAGTGGCTGATCGAAGAAGAGGCAGACTCCCTCAGTTAAGTACTGAGCTGAACTCAAGAAAGCCAGTAACAGAGAGGGAGGACTGATGACCAAACGGGTTAAGACTGGGCTGGTTTAACCCCCAGAAACAGCTGACCTGACAAATGTTAATTCAACAAAGGTTGAATCCCAGACATCAGCCTGGGAATCCAGCATGGGACTGATCAAGACCCCGTGAATGTGAGTGTCAGTGAGGAGGCCTAGGTAATCTATTGAGCCTTGGGCAGCAGATCAGTACCCATCCCGAGTATACACACGGACTTTGGACTCCCATCCAACAATGTGAGGTGCACTCTCACCCTGAACTCTTGGGGAAGGGTCTAGGCCCTGCCCTATATGAAATGACAAGACTATGGTCACCCCCATGGAGGGCCTCACCCTCCCTGGGGAAATGAGGGGATAATGGGAGGGGGTTGCGGGGAGGGCACGGGAGGAGGGGAGGGAAAGGGAGAGGGCCCTGGAACTGACTTGTGAAGCAACCTTGTTTCTTATCTAAATTTAAACTGAAAAATAAATAAACAAATAAAAACAAAAACAAAAAAATGCGACAGCTATTAAGTACTGCCCTCTAAAAAAAATGTGATGGAAAAACTGCAGATCAGAAACAGAAGGAAAAGGAAAAGTTACATGTTCTGAGTATTTCAGGAAAATGGGCAAATATATGAACCAGTATAGTTGCACTCTGTAAGATCCTGTTAGGGGCAGGCTGGAGAGACCTCAGTGGCTAAGAACACTGGCTGCTCTTCCAGAGGTCCCTAGTTCAATTCCCAGCAACCATAATGCAGCTCACAACCATCTGTAATGAGATCTGGTGCCCTCTTCTGGTCTGCAGGCATACATGCAAAAAGAACATTGTATACATAACTTACAGTAAGGAACAGAGCATTGTTTATTTAAGAGAAAATCATTTGGCCTTTAGCATAACTTAAGGGGGGACGCTGCCTTCCAGGGGTGACCTCTTTGGCAGGCTGACCTGGTGCAATGACAAAATTAGGTCTCTACCCAGATTCTCATCTCTTGTTTAGAGGTGTTCTGTTTTTAAAGTGTCTTCATTGCTACTATAACCTTTCATCCTCTAAAGAGGAGCAATAAAATCATCAGGGGTAAGAGCCCTCAAGCACATCTGGCAACTCTGATCTGTGGCAAGAACAAGGCTGCCAAGAGTCCCACGGGTATTTCTGGCTTTAAAAAGCCAGGCTACAAGAATTCTGTCTTTGGTGCCAGTGAAGAGAAGCAAGGGGCCTGCAAGGTAGCGTGCAAGCTACGGTCACAGTGTAGCTCAGCACACAGCAGTCAGCGCAACTCGGTACCAACGCTTCGAGACAGATGTTGGCATAAACCCCCTGAAATGTCAGCCATTGAGGTGACAAAGATCTCACTTCACACTGTCACCCTTGGCACTGAGAGCATTAGGGATCTTGACTCAGGGCAAACCGAGATTTGTGGTTTTGTCACTGAAAAGGATTGTAGTGGTAGCCTAGATAACAAGGATGTTTAAAAAAGTTTGAGCATGAGGAGCTGTTAGTGCCGTGAAAACAGAAGCTTCATGTCCTGATGCCAGGGCCACCAGCTGAGCCCAGCACCATGCTGTGTCTGATCCTCTGAAAATCTGAGCCAAAATGACCTCTGACTCTCTCAAGTTGAGTCTTGGCATCCATATAGGAGGAGCCGTGAGGCAAGAACTCAAAAAAAAAAAAAAACTATGATGGCTCTGTGTAACTGTGATTGGTCTGTGACTCTGTGACCTCACAAGAAGTCATTGTGAGGAATGAGAGTGGCCACCCATATAAGGCACCAGCTGGCCTGGATCTTGTCCTTTTGTTGCAGTGAAGCTGTTGGCTGGCTGCAGAGGACTTGACTCAAGACTTTGGTCGTGAGCACTTTGTTTTATTGTCTGTCTTTGGCATTTAATATCTGTGATAACCACAGACCTGAACATCATGAGTGTGATGACCAGTAGGTTGGGTTTGGGATTAATGTTGACTTACTGTAGTTTCAGATTGAGTTTGTGCATGTGTTTCAGTTTATTTTATTATCAACCATTTTCTATTATTCCCTATCCATTTATCTTGACAGTTTTTACATTTTTACACTAGTTAATTTCTTTACTTTAAAAGACCCCCAGAGTGGGGAGACCCTCACTCAAGTCTCCAGATAAGCCGATGCCCCAATAATTCAAGAGAGACCATTCTTGATGCAAGCACACAAGGTTTATTCAGGGAACCAGTGCACTGGGGCTGAGCTCATATCCCTCGCAGGGGCAGAGGAGTTTGACCCCTAGTAACTGCAGTCGGGGGTTTTTAAAAGGAAAAAACCATAAAGAACAGGAGAGTTAGGCAAACATAAACATAAAGGATGAGGAAGTTAAATGATAGCTCATGTCTTAACAGGAAGTTTATAGGTTATCTCAAGCAAGCATTCTTTGGGCATTATACAGTTAAACATTGAGCAGGAATGTGGTGAGCTAGTTCCTGGATCAGGGAGTGTTATCTTTTAAGTTTATCTTGAGGTCTCTGGTTTCTCAGGAGAGGGCAGAAGGACAAGTTATTCTGTGATGGGCTAGTTGCAAGGGGTCTAAAAATGTTGAGTTGGGATCCCTCAACTTCACATGTGTTAGTCTATATTAGAAAAGATAAGGAATTTCATTTTGCCATGGACTTTGAGGACACCCACCAGCTTTGTAACTTTCCTCAGCCTTCCCCCGTGGTTGTAAATTTCCCTATCATATTAAAAGAGTCCTCTCCTACCTAAGGAGGACTTAAAGTTCTGGGAAATCTTAGGGGACAACAGTTTGCCATGGCACCACAGTGTCATAGACAGGTTTTCATCCTTTCCATGCCTATAAATATGAGTGTAAGTAACAGGAACAGATATGAAGAGGTCTGCAGTAGTCGGGGAGTTGGAGTCAGTAGAGAATTTGAGGGTCAGAGTGACAAGGACCTTGAGGGAAGCCTCTATGTTCACTCTCTGTCTAGTTCATAACCATGTCTGAAACCCAGGATGCCCAAAGCTGACTGAGTCCATTCTTGTTGTCACTGCTGCCTTTGAAGTGAAAATGTCCTCCTCAAGGTTGGAATGGGAGAGGTCTCACATCATCTCAATCTCTAAGTTCTTGGTCTCCAGCAGGAGTTTGCAATCAGGAGGCTGTAAACCTCATGGGGTTGAAACCCAGCAGGGAGAATTGGTCATTAGAGACAACAGGAGCTGCCAAAGCCTTGCAAGCAGGTGCTTCAGCCCCATCTTCCCAAGTCCCCAGCTCCTCATCTCCAAACATCCCTGTCCTCTGAGAGCCTGAGAGTTGGGTTACCCTTTTGCCTTTTAAGGTGCATCTTGTTGGGGATTTGCTCACAGCCGTGATAAAAGTTATACAGTTCCTGGAACTGGATATAACAACATCTCTGGGTTATTTCTGGCTGTTCCTGGTCATTCCTTACTGTGACATCGCAAAAAGCCTTGCTGAGAAGTTATGGAAATCGGTTCATACGGGCCCTGCATAGGGCTGGGACTTGTCTTGATGCTATAGAGAAACTCCTGTTGGGTGGACAGCAGTCAGACTTCTCCACATATCCTGATCAACTGGGCTCTGAATCTCTTAGACCTTGACATTGAGAGATTTCCTATTCTTGGTTAAGTTTTTTGTTCTGTTTTGCCTTTTTGATTCATGCACCCAGTGTGTTAGATTGAGGAGTGGATTTCTGATTATGTGTTCATGTCTATTTCTACTTCAGAAAATGACACAAATTCATTTTTGTGTCTAAGCATGGGCCTCTTCTCAGGACCTCCTTTAATGCTTGTTATCCAGTAGTTTCCCATGGAATTATCCTGGGATTCCCTGCTGAACTCACTGTGAACATGAAGCATCAACTTTGCCATGTGTTTCTGAACAATGTGTGAAGTACAAGAAGCCTGATTACAGATGGACAAGTGGATGTTCATCAATGACATTGGAGCATACCACAGTGTGTGTGTGTGTGTGTGTGTTGCTCAATGACAATGAAGGATGCTCAAGCCTCTGTGTGTGTGTTGTCTTTTATGTGTGTGTGTGTTTTCAAGTTCTATATGTGTGTATGTATATTCATCAATGACACTGGAGTATACTGAAGCCTCTGTGTGTGTGTGTGTGTGTGTGTGTGTGTGTGTGTGTGTGTGTGTGTGTGTATTGTGATGGGTTCAGCCTCGGGAATACTGGCTTGCAAGAATAATTTTGGAGTGACCTTTCCTTGTGTCTGGTGATGCTTCTTGTGGAGAATTGATCTCCATTATACTGTAAGGTCAGTAGGTAAGGTCCATCATGCAATCTGTTGGTCCTGGCATGTGCTTGTTAGCATGAATGGTATTACTCTTTCCATCTAATCCCTAAACTGATTCCTTTGCATGTTTATAACATCCAGAATTGATCATAGCCTCCAGGTTGTAATAGCTGGAAGCCATCAAATGCTAAGTAGGTTTAATAACACCCTGTCAATGTTGGTGTCTCTTTTATGATTCAAGAACTCTCCTTTCAGGTTTATTGCCTCTCTAGAGTTAATTCACATCACACACACACATATACCCCCAGTGTACCCTAGATCATACTTGTCTATCTTTCATACTATATGTCTGTCTCACATTTCAATAATTTGCATCTTCTCTCTGGGCAATAGTTTTGCCAGACTTCTTCACCTTTTCAAGTCACAAGATCTTTGTTTCTTCGGTTTTTCTTTTCAACTTCTAAATGACCACTTATTTCATCTCTGATCTTTCTTATTCTTTCTCATAATTGCTTTAGAGTTTGGGTTGGCACTTATTTTTTGAACCCTGTCCCATGATTATCAGTAGGATGTTGAGGTATCTATGATGTTCATGAAGTGAAAATTGAGACTCATAAATTTATCTCCTAGACCTGCTTCTGTCTTTTTACTTCTAGCATCTCGTGGTGGTCCCATCCCCCACCTGTCATGGTGGTGACCATGGAGAAAGAATTTCCACACATGGATCTCTGTGATGGAGGTTTACTAGCACCATCGAGAGATACTGGTTCCAGGCTGTCCATCTCCACCATTGTAGATACTATGTGTTGCATAGGCCCCATGGCTGAAGAAACCCTGGAATCCAAAGGAGCAAAAAGGCTTAATGATGCCCAAGCAGAAAACAATATGTTCAACAGGAGAAAAAGCGATAGTAGCATCTTTGGTGAAACATGGTAGGTTCTAAGGAGTCTTTCTGCAGGTCCTCCCACCCTCCCTCCCACCCTAAGGAGGGTAGGGAGTGAATCTGCCTTCCCCACATTTGTGGCATCTGAAGAAAACAAAGGGCAAGAGGTGAATGAAGTGAGAAAAAGCAAGAGCTCCTCTAAGTCCAGCTCTCCAGCTGGATATCAGCTGGGCTTGGAATTCTGTTCCATGTTTTCTCCTGTGCCTGTGTATAACAACAATAAAAAATCAGAGGACCCAGAGAGTACTACCTCATGTGGTGATTGTGACACATCTGAGGGTTACGTCTCCTGCTTGGAGGATGCCCCTTCTTAGACCTCAGCTCCCCATGATGCTGAGGAGGCTGAGAGTGAGGAAATGGGTAGCACAGCACCATCATGCTCAGTCTCTCATCCCTCAAAGATCTGTGGTTCCTTGAAGACAAAGCCAGCGCAGGGATACCAGAAAAGCAGCATGATGCTGAGATCACCACTAGCATCAGCATATCTAAGGCCTGAAGGAAATTGATCTACAGTGCACTGAGAGAACACATGAGACTATCGACATCCTGGACCATCCTCGGAATGAGAACACTGTATATGAAAACCATCAACAAAATAACAGTTGAAGAGTGACCACAGATCTTCAGCAAGGACCAGACCCAAGAAGAAGCCACAGATTCCAAGAAAAATCAACAGGGGTCAACAAGGGGTGAAGAGGCAGATTTGGAACCTGTTTTCCAGGTTATGCTGTTTCCACATCACCCCAAAGGCAGAAGATACAGTCCCCAGGAGAGGGACAGCAAGGCATAGGAAATGGAGTCCCAAGGAAATCCAGTAGGCATGGCCAGTGACCTTCCCTTGTGTATTTCATCTTTGAATTGCAAGGCCTTTGCCATTGATATGCTGCACCCATGATAGGAATGAACCCTAAGATGTCTGTGGCCCTAGAAGAAGCTGTCCTATTGTTCCCCTATATGTGGATCCTGGAGAAGTTGAGCCTGAAACCAGGGGCAGAAGAGGGAAGGAGGAGGGAGTTGGGCTTCATTACTGGGAACTTGTTCGGTGTGAGGAGTCTCGTGTAGAGCTATGGGACAGCAGTGTGACTCTGAGTTACCTCCTACCATTGACTCAGTCACTAACACAGTCCTTTGCTTGTGTGTCTTTTGAGGTCTGAAGAACAGGCCAGGGTCCATGGTTCTTAAACCATGGGACTCAGTTTGGCCTGGTGTGGCCTAAAAGGCACAGGATGGAGCCAGGCCACACCTGATAGAACTGTGTACCCCAAATATGGTATTCCCCATCAGACACCTCCAGCACCCTGGACCCAAGATCTCTACCCCTCCTCTCCCTGTAGAGGGAGCTGTTAGCCGCTACAACTTATACCCATAGTTACCCCTGCACTATGGCTGGACAGAGAAGTCAGCCTCTGTGTTTTAAAGAGGCAGCCGTCCTGTTTCTGCAACTGTGATAGACAACTTCATGTTCCACATGACTTCAGGTCTTCACCACTCCTCATCTTGATGCTTATCCATGACCAGATGTAAAGACGTCTGCATACTGTGTGAGCCCAGGAGGTTAGGGGGCCCAGGATGAGGGGCAGAGAGGAGGACAGAGGCATGTGGGACCTGTCAAAAGTAGGAGAGTGAGGAGGCAAGGGTATGAAACTGGGTGAAGGGGAGGAGAGTCTGCCCATAGGAAGCTCCACTTCCAGTCAGGCAGCTGAGAAGAAGGGATCAGCATGTAGTGTAGGGTCTGGGACCTTAGACAGGGTGGAGCAAAATCAAACTCCCTGAGCAAGAGAGTTGTGGGGGTAAGACATGAGTTCCCAGGACCAGAAGAGCATGCCATCCCAGGGAGGTCAAGCCAAACCCTTCTCAGGACCTCTCTTTTTCTATTCTAACCAATCTTGGGCTGATTAGGTAACTAACATCCATGTCCTTTTCTTCACAATTTCCTTCCATCAGGTGCCCATGTTGCTCCCAGAAGTCCAGAAACTGGTATAATATTTTCATCCCAGTGAGTGATAATTTGACTAAAATTACTAGGCTTGAGAGGCCTGGGTAGCATCACTCCAGACAAGACCAGCATCCTTGAACTAATTTTTGTCCAGTGTCCACATTACAGGTCTAGATCAGTGGGAGACACTCATTGTCAAGGATATACAAATGTCAGTCAGTGATGTAATGTGCATTCTGGCCGAGTGTGGTGTCTGCAGAGTCCTCATGGTCACCATTCAGGCTGTGATCAGAACTCTGAGTCAGCAGAGACTGCCCAGATGACAGGGAATCCAGAGTCTTGTCTGAGGGGATCATTTAGGTGGTTCTCAACCTTCCTACTGTTGCAGAATTTTCAACAGTTGATGATATGAAGGGGGCCCCCAAACTTACAATTATTTTTGTTTCCTCATCAATAATTTTGCAACTGTTATAAATCATAATGTAAATGTCTGTGTTTTCTATTGGTCTTAGGTGACCCTATTACAGGGTCATTTGACCCCCCAAAAAGGTTGAGAACAACTAATTTAGATGAAGTTTCCTGAGTGACTCTTTGAGTGAAAGATGAATTTCTGAAGCCTGATCTTGATGTAATTTACCAGTGAAATTGGAGTTTGTCTTCTCTGCTGAGAATGCTGGCATTGGTCTTTGGAAATATGGGTGTTGTGATAGTATAGCAATTTGCCATCCCAGCTTGCATACAAAGGATCTGCAGAAGCCTACACTGACCAGCCCTACCGGTAGTGATGGTGGAGTTGGCCATCAGGTCTTGATAAGGAGGACCTGGCGCTTGGTTCCCTGTCTAGTGAAACATTTTCCAGATGAACTAGCAGCTGTAAAAATGAAACTTAATGCAGATAGACACAAAAGACTTCCTGTTCTGGCATTCAATTACTGAATTCTCCCACTCCTGCTGTTTTTTTCTTTTTACTATTCCTTTTTTAAATTTTAGTTAGAAACAAGCTTGCTTTGCATGTCAATCCCAGCTCCCTCTCCCTCCCCTCACTCCCCACTCTCCCTTCCAGCCCCCAACCAAATCTCTACTCTGATCCCCAGAGATGGTGAGTCCCTCCATGTAGGATCTCCAGAGTCTGTCATTTTATCCAGGGCAGGGCCTTGGCCCTCCCCCAAGAGTCCAGGTTGAGAGAGCATCCCCTCATTGTGAGATGGGCAGTCAAAGTCCATTTGTATGCCAGGGATAAATACTACCCAATGCCCCACAGATTGCCTAGGCCTCCTTACTGACACCCATATTCAGGGGGACTGAATCAGTCCTACATTGTCCACCCACTCATCAGTCTGGGGTCCAAGAGCTCCCCCTTGTTCAGGTCAACTATTTCTGTGGGTTAAACAAGCCCAGTCTTAACCCCTTTGTTAATCAGTTCTCCCTTTCTGTCACTGGATTCCAGGAGTTCTTTCAGTATTTAGCTGTGGGTGTCTGCCTCTGATTCTATCAGTCTCTGGATGAAGGTTCTGTTTCCCAGACTCTCTAGCAGTGGGATTGCATGCTGGCACTCCCATGATTCATGTCTAAAATCCATATGAGTGAGTACATACCAGGTTTCTCTTTTTGTTACTTAGTTACCTCACTCAGGATTGTTTCTTCTGCTGCTGTACATTTGTCTGCAAATTTCAAGATTTCATTGTTTTTTTTCTGCTCTCAGAACCTCTACTGACACCTCCTCTAACAAGACCATATCTCCTTTTCCTTCCCAAAGAGTTTCACCTACTGGGGATAGGTATCCAAACAAATTCATCTATAAGAACCATTGATACTCAAACTAACACTAAATATTAACGAGGAGCTTGGAAGAGGAAACTCTTAGGGGAGCATTGCCCTGGGATCTGACAGTTGATATGACCACATTTCTGCTCTTCTTGAATTTTCAGATAATAGATAACACCAGTGTCTCTCTTCCCATGCAGATGTTCCAGAGTTAAAGAACTGCACCTGTTTGCACAACTCAGGAAGATTTAAGAGACTCATATACTCAAACTTTACCGCCAAAGATGCTTCCTTTGTGGAGCCCTTCAACTAGAGGAGCCCTGATTGGCTCTTTGTACCCAACTGTATGATTGTGACCACCTCACAAGGTCAGAATGGGCTAGATGATGAGACTATGTTTGGAAAAAGATCAAATAACAGGTACAGCCCACAGTTCTCATTGGGAGACAGAACACACAAAACCTTCAGTGGTCTGTCATGTGTGACAATGGAAGAGTCCATCGACCAGCCCATGCCACAGTCTCTGTAGTCTGTGCTAGTGTCATCCAGTCCCTGATTATCATAGAGAAAGTTGTCAATGTGAACATAAGTCATGGACCAGCCCAGGACACCATAGTGTTCTGGAGTGTCCAGTCAATCAACTTCTTGGCTTGTGAAAGACTTCTAGGCATCAATGGATGATTTTCACAGCTTTGCTCATGATGCCTTGGAAGTGGGGAAAATGGAAATCTCTGTGTTACATCATGGTCTTTTGCCTGTCATGGGGAAGCTGAAAGGGGCATGGCCAGAGAATTCAGAATAAATAGCATGGAAGCAGAGAACACTGATCATATGTCTGGCCATCCATCCTCAAAGAAAATGCTTACTAGTCAGGGCCGATGTGAGATAAATATCCCTGACTGACAAGGTTACACCAACCAATGAGCCAGGACCCTTTTTGTCAAAGTCCCAGAGACACCAAGCCTCACCTTCCCTGTGGTCCTTGATCAAGAATGCATGTGGTCACTTCTCTGCCCTTTTTAGTCAACAAATCCACATACCCAGCTTAACACAAGACAAGCAACACTTTTTCCAAACTTCCTGATTCCCCAGATGCTCAGCATCACAGGAAATGGGTAATGCCATTTGTCTTCCTTAGTTTGTTGGTTCTCATGAGTCCTAAAATTTCCATAATACAGGGATCATGTTCAAACACAATATTGTCATGCTTCACTTATAGAGCTGCAACAGGAGACTGACCACCAAACAGGGTCCATGCCCCATTGCTGTGTTGACTACATTAGGCTCCTGAGAGACATCATGAGATGACAATGTAGCCACTAACTGCCCTCCTTGTATCAAGAATAACTCAGTGCACCAAGTACTTTGGCATTCAAACATGAGGACATGAGCTCAGGACCAGCTACCACATCAAAGCTTAGCATTTTAGTGTGGGTATATGCTCCACCTTTATGGAGATGGAAGGGAGAATTCTTCTTTTCATGTTGTACAGATGGTCTAGGCTTATTGACAATCTCCAGCTTCAAGGAGTGTGTCTCAGAAAAGAAGCTAACTATGACACTTGAAACCCCTCCTATCACAGGAGTCAACACATGCAAGTGCTCCAGAACACACACATGAACACCACACACACACACACACACACACATACACACAGTGTGAGAGGCATGAAAAAAGGAAATAGAAAAAAACATGAAGGTTTCATCTTTAATAAACGATTGTTCTCATGTGTGGGATCTGTTTCTCAACCTGTAATAACTGTGACTGTGTCCACGAGCAATCAAGTGAAAGGCTCCTGCATAACTGTGGTTTCAATTTACTTTTTGTCTCCTCAGGCGAGTCTGCTGAAAAGCTTGTGTGGTTCGCTGGAAACCCTGAAGAACAGCAGGTGACCTCTTGTCAGCTACCTGTGTGTGAACACCACAGAATGGCAACTCTTAGCTTTGTATGGGAACCTTTCCCATAGGGACTCAGTACTGTGGACCCTATGGGTTATTTCTATTAGATGTTGACACATCAGAACTACATATGAACCTGGAGGAGTGTTATACTCTTCATAGTTGGATGAAAATTTCCAGGCCTTAACTGGAAATTCATTTCCTTGATTAAATGTTCACTTGATTTTCATCCTGACCCTGTCTTTTACTAAAAAAAAAAAAACAAAAGACAAAAAAACAACAACAACAACAAAAAAACACGGTATCCAGCCTCAAGTGAATTGAACTATTGAAGCACAAGGAATGTCTCAGTCAGAATTTTTAAATTCTGTGCACTCTTCACATTAGCATGAAAATTTTGCAGTTTTCCCACAGTGAGGTTTTGGCACTGACACTTGGAGCAGCTCCTTGGTCAGGGCACCTGTGTCCTGTTGATAGCTGAGTGGGAAGCCCACAGACATGTGAAGTATGCAGCATGGCCACAGGAATACCCAATGCTTCTTGATGGCATTGACATGAGTAGCACAGGAAGGAGCTTAGAAGGTGAGCACAGAGCTGCGTCAGGAAATTCAGACACACAAAGACCTCACAGCGCCTGGGGAAATATGAGAACCAAAGCAAAGGAAGCACATGCAGGGAGCAGAGGCAGGTGGATCTCTGTGAGTTCAAGGTCAGCCTTGTCTCCAAAGGGAGTTCCAAGATAGTGAGCGCTATTGCACAAAGAAACCCTTCCTGAAAGAACAAAACCAAAAAAAAAGAAAAAGAAAAAGAATGAATAAAAAAGCAAATGAAGCTCTAGAGTGTTGTCTGTATACTGTATACTGCAAGCATGAGGCATGACTTCATCCTCCTTTATCAATCACGTGTTGTGACATATGCATGGAGTCCCACCACTGGCAGTGCAGCCACCAGCTGATACTTGGGTCTCGATGTCAATCCCACCAGCCTAGTAGAATCCCTGAGACCTGTTGTAAATGAGTGATAGATAGTTGTGATCTGCCATGTGGATGGTGGGAATTGAACCAAGATTCTCTTACGTTTTGGTTGTAAGGCTAATCTTTAATGGCTGAGGCATTTCTCCAGCCCCTGTCAAGGTATTTTTTAATATTTTATTTTTAAATTTAAATTTAAATTAGAAACAAGGTTGCTTCACATGTCAATTCCAGGTCCCTCTCCCTTTCCCTCCCCTTCTCCTGCGCCCTTCCACCAACCCCCCCAATATCCCCTCATTTCCCCAGTGAGGGTGAGGCCTTCCATGGGGGTGTCCATAGTCTGTCATTTCATCCAGGGAAGGGCCTAGACCCTCCCCCAAAAGTCCAGCATGAGAGTGCATCTCTCATTGTTGGATGGGAGCCCAAAGTCCATTTGTATACCCAGGATGAATACTGATCTACTACACAAGGCTCAATAGATTGCCTAGGGCTCTTCACTGACACCCACATTCAGGGGGTCTTGATCAGTCCCATGCTGGATCCCAGGCATCAGTCTGGGATTCAAGAGCTAACCCTTGTCAGGTCAGCTGTTTCTGGGGGTTAAACCAGCCCAGTCTTAACCCGTTTGGTCATCAGTCCTCCCTCTCTGTCACTGGATTTCTTGAGTTCAGCTCAGTGCTTAGCCATGGGAGTCTGCCTCTGCTTCCATCAGCCACTGAATGAAGGTTCTGTTTCCCAGACTCTCTGGCCATGGGATTGTAGGCTGGCACTTCCCAGATCTGTGTCTAAAATCCATATATGAGAGAGTACATGCTATGTTTCTCCTTTTGTGATTGGGTACCTCACTCAGGATGGTTTATTTTAGTGCTATCCATTTGCCTGCAAATTTCAGGATTCCATTGTTTTTTTCTCTGCTCAATAGTACTCCATTGTGTAAGTGTACCACATTTTCTCTATCAACTCTTCGGTTGAGGGGCATCTAGGTTCCTTCCAAGTTCTGGCTATTACAAGTAATGCTGTTATGAACATAGTGGAACAGACATCCTTGATGTATGAATGGGCATCTTTTGGATATATGCTTAGGAGTGGTGTTGCTGGGTCTTGTGGTAGGTTTATTCCCATTTTTTGAGAAATTTCCATACTGATTTCCAAAGTGGCTATACAAGTTGGCACTCCCACCAGCAGTGGAGGAGTGTTCCCCTTTCACCACAACCTCTCCAGCATAAATTGTCCTTGGTGTTTTTGATTTTAGCCATTCTGACAGGAGTGAGATGGTATCTCAGAGTTGTTTTGATTTGCATTTCCCAGAAGGCTAAGGATATTGAGCACTTTCTCAAGTGCCTCTCAGCCATTTTAGACTCCTCTATTGAGAATTATCTATTTAGATCTGTAGCCCACTTTTTATTTGGATCCTTTGGTGTTTTGGAGACTTGCTTCTTGAGTTCTTTGTAATTTTTGGAAATCAGCCCTGTATCAGATGTGGTGTTAGTGAATATCTTTTCCCATTCTGTGGGCTGCCTTTCTGTCTTGCTGACTGTGTCCTTTGCCTTACAGAAGCTTCTCAGTTTCAGGAGGTCCCATTTATTAATTGTTGATCTCACTGTCTGTGCTATTGGTGTTATGTTCAGGAAGCTGTCTCCTGTACCAATTCGTTCAAGGGTACCACCCACTTTCTCTTCTAAGAATTCAGTGTGGCTGGGATTATGTTGTGGTCTTTGATCTATTTGGACTTAAATTTTGTGCATGGTGATAGACATGGATCTATCTGCAGTCTTCTACATGCCAATATCCAGTTATGCCAGCACCATTTGTTGAAGATGCTATCTTTTTTCCATTGCATATTTTTAGCTTCTTTGTCAAAGATCAGATGTTCATACATATATGGGTTAATATCAGGATATCAGGGTGTTCAATTCGATTCCATTGTTCTACCTGTCTATTTTTATGCCAATACCAAACTATTTTCAGGACTACAGCTCCATAATAAAGCTTGAGGTCAGGGATGGTGATGCCTCCAGATGTTGCTTTGTTGAGTAAGGTTGTTTTGCCTATCCTGGGTTTTTTGTTTTTTCCATAAAAATTGATTATTGTTCTTTCAAGGTCTGTGAAGAATTGTGCTGGTATTCTAATGGGGATTGCATTGAATCTGTAGATTGCTTTTGGCAGGATTGCCATTTTTTCTACATTGATCCTACCTATCCAAGAGCATGGGAGATCTTTCCATTTTGTGAGGGCTTCTTTAATTTCCTTCTTTAAAGACCCAAAGTTCTTTCGATACAGGTATTTCACTTGTTTGGTTAGTGTTATCCCAAGGTATTTTATGTTGTTTGTGGCAATTGTAAAGTGTGGTGTTTCTCTGATTTTTTCTTAGACCTTTTATCATCTGTATATAGTAGGGCTACTAATTTTCTTGAGTTGATCTTGTAGCCTGCCACTTTGATGAAGGTGTTAATCAGCTGTAAGCCATAGGACAACAAAAGGAGATCAAGGGGATACAAATTGGAAAGGAATAGGTCAAACTTTCACTATTTGCAGATGATATGATAGTTTACACAAATGACCCAAAGAACTCTACCAGGGAACTCTTACAGCTGTCAAGGTACTTTTATTTCTGATTCTTTGAGACAGTGTCAGTAGTCCACTCTGAAGGAGAATAATGGCCCTGTGTATCTAATGGTGACCTCAAGCATCTGCTCTTTCTGCCCCGACTGCCAGAGTGCTGACATTACAGGTATTGGCCTGCTTCTTCCCTCTGTACAGTGCTACAAACTCTATCAGATACTGTAGTGTGCTGGGGCAGCACTCTGTGACTGCAGTGCTTACCTAAACCATTTCATAGGTTCTCTAGAGGATCTGATATCAGGATGTGGAGGAAGGGATCTCCTGTGGATTTGGGATCACTGTAGACTATCTCGATTTATAGAGTGTAACTAGGGTCCTTCATAGCAGACAGAGACACTGAGAAAAGAGTTAGAAACCTGAGAAATGGTATTACAGGAGGAAAAGGATCGATGGACACCATGGTTGCCTGCAATTCCCAAAGCTCAGACAAAAAAGAGACAGAGCCCCATCAGAGCTGCAGTAGAGACATTTCCTGGTAAGAATGAGGCCAGGAGCCTTGCTGACTCCATATGGCTATTCCTCTAGCATTTGATGACAGTTCTGACCAACAGATAGAAAAATTCTTAATGTTGTTCATCTTGGGTGATTATCCTTTGGTCAGTGTACAGGCCAGAATCACATTGACACAGACAGACAGGACCACTTACCCTCTGTCCTGGGGAACTGTATGGACTTCCACATTCTGAGCAATACCCAGCTCATGAGAGTTACAGAGGAGAACATTCATGGTGAACATTGGGATTAAGAGAGTGGAACTAGGGGATTGTGTTGGGGAGATGCCTCAGGTGGCAAAGCCTTTGTCAAAAAACAATGAGGACCTGCATCTTTGTCCCAGCACCCACATAAAATGTCAGTTGCACCACCACAATATGGGAATTCCTACTCCTGAAATTCTCAGCAAGGAGTCTAGGAGAACTGTTGAGCTCCAGAATTGGTGGCAGACTCTTTCTCAACAATCAAGGTGAAAGTACAAAGAGAAGAGAATCTTGAGGTTGACACATTTGGATCAATGAACAACTGTATATAAAAATGAACACAGAGGTCACACAAACTCTCTCTCTCTCTCTCTCTCTCTCTCTCTCTCTCACACACACACACACAAAATATGCTTGGAAAGTTTCCAGTAACTGTTCAGAATGGAACTCTAGTCCTAGCAGACAATTAAGCATGAAATTCATGTTCACAGTGGGCACACAGAAGGTCTTCAGCTTGAGTCAGAATCATTTTTCACATGGTTAGAATTTAGGGTCCATGCCCTATACAACATCTGGCAAATAATTATAAACACAGACCTGTAGGTGGTCAACGCATCCCAAAGGAACCAGAATCAATGCATTTGCACATCGGGGGTCACATGACCATCATGAAACAGGAAATCCTCAGCAAACAAAAAATACTAGGTATCATGGCAACCCAGTTACTCTGGTCCTCTTTCTAGGAAGCCTGCCCTGTCCCATTGGTGGGGTAGCTCTCAAGTCTAAGTCATGTGAAGCACATGCATTTCTGGCTCCCATGAAGAATTCTCCATCACCTAACAACTGCATGGCATCCTTATGTAGATATGTTGATCCAGTAATTTCCCTAGCCTTAGCATGGAAAAGAGCAATTCTGCTTGTGGAATATACAGAGTCCTATG